GAGCGGGAAACGTGAGGGGAGAAAAGAGCGGGAAACGTGAGGGGAGAAAAGGGCGGGAAACGTGAGGGGAGAAAAGAGCGGGAAAATGTGAGGGGAGAAAAGAGCGGGAGAACGTGAGGGGAGAAAAGAGCGGGAAACGTGAGGGGAGAAAAGGGCGGGAAAACACGAGGGGAGAAAAAGGCGGGAAAACGTGAGGGGAGAAAAGAGCGGGAAAACGTGAGGGGAGAAAAGGGCGGGAAAACGTGAGGGGACCGAGTGTCCCGGGGTGACACAGGCGGCAGAGCGACAAGGTGACACAGGGAGCTGGGGTTAGGGTGGGTCGGGGTGACGGGGGGACGACAGGGCGTGACAGGGGGGTGACGGGAGGTGACACACAGGTGACACACAGGTGACAGCCGTACCTGGCGGGTGGTGGTTGGCCGCATAGCCCTGCAGCGGGTGGGGGGCTCCGTAGGGCTGCCGGTGCAGCAGGTCGGGGTCGGGGTGTGACCCCCGCGAGCCCCCGTACACCAGGCTGGGGGCACAGGAGGGGACAGCGGTGTCACATGGGAGTGGCACGGGCCACACCGGGGTGGGGGGGGGCTGTCACAGGTGTCACCTCCCCCCGGCCCACCACATCCTTTGGGGACACAGGTGTCACCTCCCCCCCACCCTTTGGGGTCACAGGTGTCACCTCCCCACACCCACTGGGGACATGGGGGGTGGCACACGGGATTGTCACCTGCCCCAAAACTCCCCCGTACGCCAGGCCGGGGATAGGGACTGGTGTGACACAGACAGGTGTGACACAGGTGTGACACACACACACACAGGTGTGACACGGGTGTGACACACACACAGGTGTGACACAGGTGTGACACACACAGGTGTGACACAACCACACACAGATGTGACACAGGCTCAGATGCGACACATCCACACACAGGTATGACATGGGTGTGACACAGGTGTGACACAGACAGGTGTGACACAGGTGTGACACAGGTATGACACACACACACAGAGTTGTTACACACTCAGGTGTGTCACAGAAGTGACACAGGTGTGACACAGGCGTGACACACACACACACAGAGTTGTTACACACTCAGGTGTGACACAGACAGGTGTGACACAGCCATGCATAGGTGTGACACAGGTGTGACACAGGTGTGACACACACAGAGTTGTTACACACTCAGGTGTGACACAGACAGGTGTGTCACAGAAGTGACACGGGTGTGACACAGGTGTGACACACACAGAGTTGTTACACACTCAGGTGTGACACAGGTGTCACACAGGTGTCACACACACACACACAGAGTTACACACTGTGGTGTGACACACACAGGTGTGACACAGCCGTGCACAGGTGTGACACAGGTATGACACACACACACAGAGTTGTTACTCAGGTGTGACACAGACAGGTGTGACACAGCCATGCATAGGTGTGACACAGGTGTGACACAGGTGTGACACACACACACAGAGTTGCTACACACTCAGGTGTGACACAGACAGGTGTGACACAGACAGGTGTCACACACACACACACAGAGTTACACACTGCGGGGTGACATACACAGGTGTGACACAGCCGTGCACAGGTGTGACACAGGTATGACACACACACACAGAGTTGCTACACACTCAGGTGTGACACAGACAGGTGTGACACAGACAGGTGTGACACAGACAGGTGTGACACAGACAGGTGTGACACAGACAGGTGTGACACAGACAGGTGTGACACAGACAGGTGTGACACAGACAGGTGTGACACAGACAGGTGTGACACAGACAGGTGTGACACAGACAGGTGTGACACAGACAGGTGTGACACAGACAGGTGTGACACAGACAGGTGTGACACAGACAGGTGTGACACAGACAGGTGTGACACAGACAGGTGTGACACAGACAGGTGTGACACAGACAGGTGTGACACAGACAGGTGTGACACAGACAGGTGTGACACAGACAGGTGTGACACAGACAGGTGTGACACAGACAGGTGTGACACAGACAGGTGTGACACAGACAGGTGTGACACAGACAGGTGTGACACAGACAGGTGTGACACAGACAGGTGTGACACAGACAGGTGTGACACAGACAGGTGTGACACAGACAGGTGTGACACAGACAGGTGTGACACAGACAGGTGTGACACAGACAGGTGTGACACAGACAGGTGTGACACAGACAGGTGTGACACAGACAGGTGTGACACAGCCATGCATAGGTGTGACACAGGTGTGACACACTCAGGTGTGACACAAGCCATGTGACCTGCACACAGGTGTGACACAGCCACACACAGGTGTGACACACTCAGGTGTGACACAGGCACAGATATGACACACACAGGTATGACACAGGCACAGGTGTGACATGGGTGTGACACGGGTGTGACACAGGCACAGGTGTGACCCACACAGGTGTGACACAACCACAGGTGTGACACAGGCACACACAAGTGTGACACAGGTGTGATATGGGTGTTACACGCTCAGGTGTGACACAACCGCACACAGTTGTTACACACTCAGGTGTGACACAAGCTGTGTGACCTGCACACAGGTGTGACACAACCACAGGTGTGACACAGGCACACACAAGTGTGACACGGGTGTGATATGGGTGTTACACGCTCAGGTGTGACACAACCACACACAGTTGTTACACACTCAGGTGTGACACACTCCTGCTGCGCCCCAAACCCTGGAACACCCCAAATTCTCCAGAACCCCGAAATCCGATACAACAGGATCCGAACACCCCAAATCCTGGAGCACCCCAAATCCTGAACACCCCAAATTCTCCAGAACCCCAAAATCCGATACAACAGGATCCCAACACCCCAAATCCTGGAACACCCAAAATCCTGGAACACCCAAATCCTGGAGCACCCCAAATCCTGAACACCCCAAATTCTCCAGAACCCCAAAATCCGATACAACAGGATCCCAACACCCCAACTCCTGGAACACCCAAATCCTGGAGCACCCTAAATCCTGGAGCACCCCAAACCCTGGAACACCCCAAATTCTCCAGAACCCCAAACCCTGGAACTCCCCAAATCCTGGAGCACCCCAAATCCTCCAGAACCCCAAATTCTCAAGAACCCCGAAATCGGATACAACAGGATCCCAACACCCCAAATCCTGGAACACCCAAATCCTGGAGCACCCTAAATCCTGGAGCACCCCAAACCCTGGAACACCCCAAATCCTGGAACACCCCAAATCCTCCAGAACCCCAAATTCTCCAGAACCCCAAAATTGGATACAACAGGATCCCAACACCCCAAATCTGGGAATACCCCTAATCCTGGAACACCCCAAATCCTCCAGAACCCCGAAATCGGATACAACAGGATCCCAACACCCCAAATCCTCCAGAGCACCCCAAATCCTGGAACACCCAAATTCTGGAACACCCCAAATCCTGGAACACCCAAATCCTGGAACACCCCAAATTCTCCAGAACCCCAAAATCCGATACAACAGGATCCCAACACCCCAAATCCTGGAGCACCCTAAATCCTGGAACACCCAAATCCTGGAACACCCCAAATCCTGGAACACCCCAACCCCGGTGCAGCGGTGTCACCCCAAATCCCAGCGCTGCCATCGCCAGCACCCCAAAACTCCCGGTGTAACGGGATCCCAGCACCCCAAAATTCCATCTACACCCCAAAACTCCCGGTGTAACGGGATCCCAGCACCCCAAAATTCCATCTACACCCCAAAACTCCCGGTGTAACGGGATCCCAACACCCCAACAGTGCTGGGGCACCCCAAAATTCCCGGTGTGACGGGATCCCAGCACCCCAAAATTCCATGTACACCCCAAAATTCCCAACATAACGGGATCCCAACACCCCAACAGAGCCAGGACACCCCAAAATTCCTGGTATAATGGGACCAGACTCCCCAAAATTCAATGTACACCCCAAAATTCCCGGTATAACGGGATCCCAGCACCCCAAAATTCCATGTACACCCCAAAATCCCTATCATTACAGAACCAGACACCCCAATATTCAATGTACACCCCAAAATTCCCGGTATAACAGAATCCCAGCACCCCAAAATTCCAGGAACACCCCAAAATTCCCGGTATAACAGGATCCCAACACCCCAATTATTCCATCTACACCCCAAAATTCTCGTTATAACAGGGCCAGACACCCCAAAATTCCCATTGTAATGGGATCCCAGCACCTCAAGACTCCAAGGAAACCCCAAAATTCAGGATCCCAGCACCCCAAAATTTCAGGAACACCCCAAAATTCCCGGTATAACAGGATCCCAACACCCCAATTATTCCATCTACACCCCAAAATTCCCGTTATAACGGGACCAGACACCCCAAAATTCCATGTACACCCCAAAATTCCCGTTATAATGGGACCAGACACACCAATAATTCCACGTACACCCCAAAAATTCCCGTTATAACGGGATCCCAACACCCCAATATTCCATCTACACCCCAAAGTTTCCGGTCTAACGGGACCAGACACCCCAAAATTCCATGTACACCCCAAAATTCCCGTTATAACGGGACCAGACACCCCAACATTCCACGTACAGCCCAAAATTCCCGGTCTAACGGGATCCCAACACCCCAATTATTCCATCTACACCCCACAGTTTCCGGTCTAACGGGACCAGACACCCCAACATTCCACGTACAGCCCAAAATTCCCGGTCTAACGGGATCCCAACACCCCAATTATTCCATCTACACCCCACAGTTTCCGGTCTAACGGGACCAGACACCCCAAAATTCCATGTACACCCCAAAATTCCCGGTATAACGGGATCCCAACACCCCAAAATTCAATGTACACCCCCAAATTCCCATTAAAACAGGACTAAACACCTCAAAATTCCACGTACACCCCAAAATTCCGATTAAAACAGGACTAGACACCCCAATATTCAATCTACACCCCAAAATTCCCGGTATAACGGGATCCCAACACCCCAAAAATTGCAGGGAACCCCCAAAATTCCCATTACAACTGGATCCAAACACCCCAACAGCGCTGGGGCACCCCAAAATTCCTGATACAACAGGGCCAGACACCCCAAAATTCCCATTGTAACGGGATCCCAGCACCCCAAAATTCCTGATACAACAGGGCCAGACACCCCAAAATTCCCGGTATAACGGGATCCCAACACCCCAAAAATTGCAGGGAACCCCCAAAATTCCCATTACAACTGGATCCAAACCCCCCAACAGCGCTGGGGCACCCCAAAATTCCTGATACAACAGGGCCAGACACCCCAAAATTCAATGTACCCCCCAAAATTCCCGGTATAACGGGATCCCAACACCCCAAAAATTGCAGGGAACCCCCAAAATTCCCATTGTAACGGGATCCCAGCACCCCAAGACTCCAAGGAAAACCGAAAATTCAGGATCCCAGCACCCCAATGTTCCATGTACACCCCAAAATTCCCATTAAAACAGGACCAGACACCCCAATTATTCCATCTACACCCCAAAATTCCCGTTATAACGGGACCAGACACCCTAGTAATTCCATCTACACCCCAAAATTCCCGTTATAACGGGACCAGACACCCTAATAATTCCATCTACACCCCAAAATTCCCATTATAAAGGGACCAGACACCCCAAAATTCCAGGGAAACCCCAAAATTCCCATTATAACGGGATCCCAGCACCCCAATTATTCCATCTACACCCCAAAATTCCCGGTATAACGGGATCCCAACACCCCAAAGTTCCAGGGAAACCCCAAAATTCCCATTATAACGGGATCCCAGCACCCCAATTATTCCATCTACACCCCAAAATTTCCGGTGTAACGGGACCAGACGCCCCAAAATTCCATGTACACCCCCAAAATTCCCATTATAAAGGGACCAGACGCGCCAAAATTCCCAGAATAACGGAACCCGACACCCCAATATTCCATCTACACCCCAAAATTCCCGGTATAACGGAACCCAGCACCCCAATATTCCATCTACACCCCAAAATTCCCGGTATAACGGGACCCCAACACCCCTCCCGTACCCCCCACCCCACCCGGGACCCCCCAATTTCCCTCCCCCACCCCCCAAACCCCCCCGAACCCCCAAACCGCGACCCCCTCCCCCCATCCCCCCTCAGAGCCGCCCCCCCCCGTTCCCGCCGTTCCCTCTCCCCTCACAAACCGCCCCCCCCCCTCTCCCCTCACCTGGCCTTGGCCGAGCGCTCGTAGCTCCAGCCGGGCCCGGCGCTCAGCGGATCCCCGAACCCGGCGGCCGGGTAGTTCCTGTCCATGGGGGCGGCGCCCCCCGGGGCCGGACCGGGGGGGGATCG